AGGGAAGAAGAATTCTGAAAAGGGGTATCCGAATAAGCAGTTGGACTTATCTGGTCCTTCGCCCAACAGATGTCTGAGTCCCATTTATAGGTCTTTGTAGGTATCCTAGTAAGCAGTTGTACTTATCTGGTCCTTCGCCCAACATATGTCTGGGTCCCATCTATAGATCTTTGTAAATAGTCTAGTTTGTCTTTAGCGTCGACCGTCGAAAGTAAAGACATGTTAATTGTAATTATTTTCTTTGTTGGTCACTCTTGTCTAAAATGTGTGTAATCTTGAACAGTGGAACATTTAAGTCTATAAAAGAATTAGTTGTTGAAGTAGTATTTAGAGCTCTCCTCAAGCCATAAACTCTACCTTCCAATTCCTTTATAGTCTAATTCCCAACCTTCCCTCTTTCTTAGTGGCGAATCTTGACCATTGATCTTGAGGGAGCCAAATAATATATTATTAATAAATAATAAATAAATATAAAAGGAAAAAAGAAAATGAAATGGTGAAAGGATAAAATTGTAGATATATACTTAAATATATTAAATGATCATTAAGTTTGAGGGGAACAAAATCATAAATTACATGAGAGTTACAAAACTGAGGAGGACTGAAAGGATATAATTGTAAATATATTAAATATTCATTAAGTTTGGGAAGGGGGCCAAAATCATAAATTACATGGGAGTTACAAAACTTTAGGGAGGTCACGACCTCCTCGACTCCCAAAAAGATCCACCATTATTCTTCCTTACGAACTTTGTAAGAAATATTTGTAATAACTACTTTTATTTTCTTCTCTTTAATACTCTTCTTTTAGTATGCGTTGGTGATATATATATATATATATATATATATATATATATATATATATATATATATATATATATATATAATATGACCTATTTTTTAGAATTAAGATGGTAATTATCTCATTAAAATTTTATAATTTTTATATATATTTTTAATTTTACTCGACATGATTGATTATTAAATATATTTATTTATATATTACAAATTTTATTTTATTTATTTTTATATTTATTTATAAATAATATATTATTTAATCTCTCAAAAATTAATAATAAAATTCCACTAGTATATAAATCCGGCTACTATATAAAGATATAAGTGAAAAATTACAAAAACATGTTTTCCCTATTCTAATTTCTTGTTAGAAAATTATTGCTTTATAATATGTTCTCCTTATTACTTTTTTCTCTATACTTTCTCTATAAACACTCAAAATTAACTCTTATAAACAAATTATACATTAAAATTTGTAATTTAATTTAAATAGATATGTTATGTTACTAACTTATATTACATTTTATTTATATTTTAATAAGTAGTTTTTATAGACATTTTGTTTACAATTTTATTATTTACATCTTATTTTTATAACTTAAAAAAATAATTTAATTATTATATTAAATATTAATTAAATATAACATTTTAACATGAGAAGTAATTAGAAAATTCACATATTTATTTTAATGGGTAAATATTCAAATTTACACACACCAAATTTTAATACTTTAGAATGAAAAATATAAATAAAAAATAATTAATAATTTTAAAATTTGGTAATATGATGATATTTAAACAAAACATTATTATTTTTTAAATTTCAAACATAAGTGATAATAATATGAAAAAATATAACTAGCTGATTTTTTTATCATTAAAGATAAAAGAAAATGGGTAACATTTAGTAAGTGATGATTATATAGGAAATTTTGACTACATGAAGAAACTAAAACCTGTGAAGAGAGATTATGGAGTTCATTTATGACTATCGAAAAGAATTTAAGAAAACAAATCTTATAGTATAATTAGGTTCAATTAATGAATGGTTATATATGGATAGATTATAAAATATAATATATATATATATATATATATATATATATATATATATATATAAATTACTAATATTTTTAATTTTTAAATAATGTGAAACATATTTAACGTAAATTTCATTAAAAATTAATAAATAAGAAGGGAATAAGACTCTTCTTCGATTTCATGATAGATATTAAATATTTATAGAAACTGACGAAGATTGATAAAAAGGTATAAAATTTGATTCAGGATATCATTATATTAGATTTTAACTTTTAAGATTGAAAGTAATTTAAAAAAAAAAACATGAAGTTAACTTTTAGAGAAAATAATATTATATTTGAAAAATAATTTCTTAATTGAAAATATCATCTCCTTTTTTTTTTTTTAACTACTTGTAATAACATCCAAGGCTCAATAGTGCCAATTTTGATGTACTTTTTAATAATATGTTAAATTTAAATTAATATCAGAGGTAATAAATTATATATATATATATATATATATATATATATATATATATATATATATATATATATATCAAAAACATATTTATTTTGTTTATGTATTTTTTTGAAAATAAATGTTTGTAGATATATTTCGTTTAGAAATTTAAGATTATATTAATCATTCTTTTATCAATTATATTATTATTTTTTTAATTATATTTATTTAAAAAATTACTATTAAGTGTGATTTGTAATAAAAAAATATTGAAATGATAAAATAATTTAATAAAAAATTAAAAATAATAAAAAATAATATTTATCTGTAGTAAAACTTGTAAGTATTTAAATATCTAAAAAAAATTATTGTATTTATGGAGGATTTGAATATTTTATTAAATGTAACAACTTTTTAAAATTAACGTTTCGATAAATATAAATAAAAGTATAAATGAGGAAATATTGTTAATGATATTTCAATTTTGTAAATTATCAAATTTTAGAATAAAACTTAAGCAGGTATAGTTTTTAGAGAGAAATATCAAATACTTACATTAATAATAATGTATAACTAGGCATGGTTTTTTATTTTCGCTAACTTCCTGTTTTTAATTTCAATTCTTAGAAATTATGTTTTTATTATATTTTAGCTTTTTTTACTCCATCTGATATTGGTTTATATTATTTATAAAAAAATAATTATATTTATAATAAATTAATTTTAATATTTTTTATATATTATTTTTTATATATAAATAAATATTTATAATTTATAATTATTATTAATTAAATATATACTTTAATTTATTATATTTATATTAAAATATGTATATAAAATAAATATTTAATATTTTTTACATAAATATAAAATGCTTATAATAATATTATTATTATTATTATTATAGCAATATGTTTAAATATATGATATTATATATATATATATATATATATATATATATATATATATATATAAAAGTTGTTATTTTAAAGTAATAAATATAAAATATATAATTTATTAAGAAAAATGTATTAAGTTCATTTATTAAATTAATTATTAATTTTTTTATTCTTCAAAACATAATTATTTTATTAAGATGATTTTGTATATATAATAAATAAAAATAATAAAATCTAGGAAATATGATATAATAAAATTTAATAAAGATAATTTATAAATAAAATAATATTACATGTAAAATATTATGAAAAAGATAAAGAAAAAATTATTTTTATTTTTGTTTAAATTAATTGAAAAAATTGAAAAAGATGAATTAATTGATTAAAAAAATAAAAAAAGTAAATTATCTAATAAAATAAATTATTTTATATATAATTAAAAAAATACTTTAAAAATTAATATTTAAAAGATAAGACGGACGCGATAAGAATTGTTCATTCACATCGATTTTTTAAAGGGGCAAAAAAAAATCCAAACTTGTACCCATTCTCCATCAACTAAAATTTTTGCTTAAAAAACTTGGAAACAAAGCTGATAAACTTCCCACAAATGTGTATTTAATTATTATCCCTAGGTAGAACTACACTAAAAGCTAAATTCAATACATGTAATACATTAAAAACAACATTTAATATTAAAGTAAATATAATGCTCTTTAATCAATACTATATTAATATATATTATAATAAATGTTACATATTTTTATATAAAAACAATAATTAGTTATTACTTTATTTTTCATCAATACTGTATTGATATTACTATAATATATTAAATACCATAATAAATGTTGCATTTTTTTATATAAAGAAAATAAATAGTTATTACTTTATTTTTAATATTATTTTTTAATACGAATTATTATTTTAGACTATTTTATTAAAAAAAATAAGTAATTGAAATAAATAGTAAATTTGAAATAAGTAGATTTTTTTAAAATTATAATAATTTGACTTAAAATACATTTAATATTTATTTAACTATTCTTTTTAATTATTGTTCGAGATAAATATTTTAAATAATACAATAATATTTTAGTGTAATATTAAATAATATGTTTAATTTACAATAAATAATATTGATAAATGTTATAGTGGGTTTATATTATTCATTTTTATTATTCTTTTTTAGTGATATGTTTGTATAAACAATAACATCTTAAATATTAGATAAAAAAAACAACTAGAATGAAAGTTAACATTATAATTTTTTTTTTTAACTAAGTGAACCTTTTTCCTTTTCTATTATCATCATTAAAAGAAAAATAATTAATTAAAAAAGTAGAATTAGGATTTCTTACCATATATATCTTTAAATCACAAAATTAAAAATATATCATATCTAATTAACTTATGTTTTATATCTATAATTATCATAGTTTTTTCAATCTTTAAATATATATATATATATATATATATATATTTTAATTTTTAAATAATAATATTTTATTCATAAATAACACCTGTAAATTAGATATGTTCTTACATTCATCACCACAAAGCTACTGGGTTGTGCTCTGCACCTCTACACTAATAATTTCCAACAATTGGGTTTTGGTCAACTCAATTGTCCCCATTCTTTATATCTCCACTTAAAACCCCCATTCCTGCAACAAAGAAAACACTTTTCTTTCCATTCCCTTCTGCAGCTAGCTAGCACTTTCCCTCTCATCTCTCACGTACTTTGATTCTTTTCATCACTGAAAACATCAGACATTGTACCTCAAGCATGACCCTTCCATCCTAAAACACTCACTACAAATGCCCCACACCAACTCAAAAATTAAAACAAACCACCCCATCTTCAGCATTTCTGAGTCACAAACCACAAATATGCAGAACCTCAGTTTCCTCTACCTAACCATCATTTCCCTCTCTCTCATCCTCTTCTACAGCACAAACAACATCATCTTAGTCCAAGCCCTGACCTCACCCTCAGACATTGCAGCCCTCAAGGCCTTGAAGGCCTCAATCAAACCTGGGTCCATCCCAGCCTGGTCTTGCCTCGGCTCATGGAACTTCACCACCGACCCGTGCTCACTCCCTCGCCGCAGTAGCTTCCTCTGCGGCCTCACCTGCACCCCTGACTCCACAAGAATCAACCAAATCACTCTCGACCCAGCAGGGTATTCAGGCACACTCACCCCACTAATCTCTCAACTCACACAACTCATCACACTTGACCTCTCCGAAAACAACTTCTTCGGCTCAATCCCCTCTTCAATCTCCTCACTCTCAAACCTCCAAACCTTATCCTTCCGATCCAATTACTTCTCAGGCCCAATCCCTTCCTCCATAACCACCTTAAAATCACTCCAATCTCTTGACTTTTCACATAATTCTCTTTCTGGGTCTCTCCCAAACTCGATGAACTCCCTCACCACACTCCGTAGACTCGATCTCAGCTTCAACAACCTAACCGGTTCAATCCCCAAACTCCCACCCAACTTGCACGAACTCGCGATCAAGGCCAATTCTCTAAATGGGCCTCTCCAGGAACAGAACTTTGAAGGGATGAACCAGTTAGAAGTGGTGGAGCTAAGCAAGAACGCGCTCACCGGAACAGTGGAATCGTGGTTCTTCTCATTACCGTCACTGCAGCAAGTGAACTTGGCCAACAACACCATCACGGGGGTACAGATCTCGCGACCACGCGCGGCGCGTGGGGGAACCGGAAGCAGCAGCAACCTCGTCTCGCTCGACCTCGGGTTTAACAGAATCCAAGGCTACGCGCCCGCTAATCTCTCCGCATTTCCCGCGCTGTCGTTCTTGTCGATTCGCCACAACGCGCTTCGTGGCGCGATCCCTCCCGGGTACGGCCAGATCAAGTCCTTAACGAGGGTGTTCCTCGACGGAAACTTCCTCACCGGAAAGCCGCCGCCGGGGCTTATCGCCACCAGCAGGGAGATTTACGGCAGTCTTGGCGACAATTGTCTGAATTCATGTCCAAATTCGTCTTATCTGTGCTGGCCCGCACAGAAACCAATCTCAGTTTGCAAGCAAGCCTACTACAGGGATAGACCAACACCGTAATCTGTTGTCGGTTAAAATAATAATAATCATAAAAAAAAAGAATTAAAATATAAATCTTTTTTTCAAACGTTCTTTGTAGAAGTGCGTCACTATCTGAATAAAAAAGATGATTGTCCGTGTAAAGAATACAGTGTGACAATGATAATCCAATAGTGCTTATATTTTCCTTGTTCTTGCGAAGCTGACATTGATATTCTGAGTTTTACACCGCAGAAATCACAAGACATGTGTTGTGTGTGATGATGGTGCATGCTATTCAGAGGTTTAGATATGAAGTCTCCGATGGGTACGGGTTGCGACGATGATAAGAGGTTCATATCTGTCTTGGAGTCGAAGGAAGCCCCCACACCTTGACTCCACCGACTAGCTCAATAAAGTCTCCATCTTGAAGATGTAATGAACCAAAAACAATGCCTTTTAAGCACGTGCCCATGGGTTCATTCTTATTTTTTTTATCTCCATTTTTTAATTACGTAAAATTTTCAATGTAAAATTTAATATTTGATAAATTTATTTGATAAGAAAATTAAAGTATTATTAATTATTATATACTCAAAATGGTATTATTTATGGAAATAAGAAAATCAAATATTACATAACATTAGTATTGTACAAGTAATAACATGGTAAATAATCTATTGTTAATTTAAATAAATTTTAATTGACATTATTTATTAGTATTAATAAATTTAAGTTATTTTAATTAATTATTTAATATTAATAGTAATTCATTTTAAATTTAATTTAATCTATTAATAAATAGTTAGTTAATTAATTAATATAATAATTTAATTTTGTAATAAATAAAAAACTATATTTTTTCATAATTAAAAAAAATCATAAATAGTCGAATTCTAAACAATTTTTCTGCATTTGGACAAAATAACTGATACAAGTGAATCCCATCAAACCAGAACTAAGAAATAATTAGTACACATAAAGCGAAGATAAAATAATAATGATAATAAAATAAAGGACAGTGACATTTCAAAATCATTTTTTATCAAATATATATAAACAACAAACTAAAATTTAAAAAGTCACATCGATAAATTGAATTTGATTGATCCATTCAACGGTAAGGATTCTTTGAATTAGGTTTTACTTAAAACAATTAAAAATCTGAAAAAAAAAAGGGTGAGTTGGATCATTACGAGATAACCAAGTGCTACCTCTTTGTGTTAGATAGAATGAATTATATAAGTCCGTAACAACTATGAAAATTTCAAGGTTTTATATCATAATAAACTGCAGAAAAATTTGTAATGGCATCCAACACGTAAGTGGTTGTTTCTGAATTACAATTATGTAATGATAATCCAACCACTTAATTATTCATGTTTTGTTTTGTTTGACAATTAAAATAATATTTTGGTTGGTAAAAATGATGAACTAAATAAGTGATTATTCAAGTTGGTTTTGAATAGATGTTTACATCTGAACTAAACGATAATCATAGGACTTTTGTTCATTTTTCTTGTATAAACAAAAACCATAATCATATCATAAAGGCAAAGATATGCTTTCGAGGTGTTGGACAAGACACTGATTGATTAATGATAGGTTTTTGGCCATAAACAAATGTTAATAACTTTATTACACTGTCATTTGATTTGATTATAGAATAATTATTTTTTACATTGCAAAAACCATATACATGTTTCCCACTAGCTCCATGCACAGCATCAATCAAATCCTAGAGAATTAGAGTGTTCTCTATACCAGGGTGACGCGAGAAGAAACCCCTAACAGACTCTATATATTTGAGAACTTGGTGGAAATTTTGTCCACAGTGTCATAAATTTATATTTTAATTACTTAAATAAGATAATGTTGATTTTATTTATCTACATAACACGCATTTTTTAGTTGGGAATACGATTATCTCTCACACAAAACAAATCACAAATGTGGTTGTGTATAATTTTTTTTAAACCATTTAAAATTCGATTTTCCAGTATCCCAATTCTGAATTGATTATTCTTTTTTTTTGTTTATTTTATTAAGAAACTAACTAATATATATATATATATATATATAATATTATAATATTTTATTTAAAATTTATAACTTTAAATTATAAATTTAAAAAGATTTATATATTTCTTAAATTAATAATATATTTAGATTTATTGTTGAAAGTAATAAAATAATACTTATAAAATACATTATTAAATGTTATATTTATATTTTATTTGTATGGTTACTTTTTTTTAATTCTTTGATTTATTTGATAGCGTAATATTATTTTTAGAAATTAATAATAAATTAGAAGGATAATAAAAATTTTAAAAATTATATATATATATATATATATATATATATATATAAAAGATGAAATAATATTTTGATGTAAAGTTATATTTTTAAAATGTCTTTTTTTTGTATTATTTGTAATATTTTGAAATATATATATATATAATTTAAAGTTTATGTAATTTTAATTTATGTAATATATATATAATTATAATTTATATAATATATATAATTTATTTAACATTAAAAATAGTTATATTTTTATTAATTTTATAATTTTCATTTTTTAAGGTTATAATTTTTTTAACTTTATAATTATAATTTATAAATAAATATTTTTTAATTTTAATTTGATATATATATATATATATATATATATATATTTAATTATTTAATGTATATTTGAAAAAGTAATTTATTATAATAGATTATTTAAAAAACTAATATTATAATCAATTATTTGAAAAAGTAATTGATTGTTTAAAAAAACTAATCAATCATAATTGAGTAATTGAAAAATTAATTGATTGATTTTTTGAATATACATTAATTTTTCATCTTATATACATATAATTTTTTAGATTTTTATTATCCTCCTAATTTATTATTAATTTTAAAAAAATATTACAATATTAAATAAATCAAATTATTAAAAAAATTAACCATATAAATAAAATATTTAATAATATATTTTAAAGTATTATTTTACTATTTTCAACAATAAATCTAAATGTATTATTAATTTAAGAAATAAATATATATCTTTCTAAAATTATAATTTTAAATTTTAAATAAAATATTATAATATTATATATATATAGTTAATTTTTCTTTCTTAATAATAATAATAAAAGAAAAACAATACAAAATTCAATTATCAGAAAATCGAATTTTAAATGGTTTAAAAAAATTATAACCACATTTAGGCTTAGATTAAGAGGGAATCAATTTTTCAACTTAAAAAAAAAACTGGTAAATTTATAGTATGTTGTTTGAGTAATTAAAAAATAATGTGTGCTAGAACAAAATTCGAACTTGGTGTGGGGTTAATGCTTTGTCTTGTCTGGTCCCTTGTTTACAATACAAGATGTTAGAGATACGATGAGAACAAAATATTTTACTGAAAGAAAAAGTAAAATAGTTTTATATTTACATATATTTTAAAATTTAAACATACTTTCTAGGTTATGGTAATAAATAAATAAAAATTAATGTGAATAACATTGTAAATTTTATAAATCTAATGTTTTTATTTTTATTTTTATATATTATAATAATATTATTATGAAAAACTAATGTCCAAAAAACTTCGTAGTAAAGTTTCTTTTGCACACTAATTTTCTATATATGTACGAAGGAGGAAGGAATGATTCCTCCTATATCACGCGTTCTTCGCTCTTATTCTTCTTTCGTCTAAATTTCAAATAAATGATACTCTACTCGTGCAGGATGAAACAGAGAGAGAACTTAGATTAAGTGGGAAAACTTCGGTAAAAATACCACACAAGGTAAGAGAAAGTTTAATTCATTCAATATATGAGACTAAATTGCTGGGTACTCTGAGAATAAAGAATAAGAGTGAAAATCTGAAGTATTGAACGACTGATTTTAAATATTTCTTCATGTTTGAAAAGTTTGAAATTTTCTTGAAATTTTTGAAATTAAAGATGAATTATATGGTAAAATTGTTGTTTTTGACTTAAATTGAACATAGTTCATGTTTAATTTGAATTTGAAACCAGTTTGGCTGTCTGATACTGATAAATTGAAAATTTATAAAATTTGATATAGTTACTAGATGCGAGGTTGAAGAAAGGGATAAAGGGATTTTTGAAAAATATCAAGGGTAAAATAGTCATTTTACATTCTAGGGACATAAATGAAATTATGAAAATGTTCAAGGGTAAAATAGTCATTTTCAAGACATAGAAGGAATAGTCGAAAATGTCAAAGGGTAAAATAGTCATTTTCAGGACATAAAAGGAATAATCGAAAATGTCTAAGGGTAAAATAGTCATTTTTGGGACATGAGAGGAATAATAGAAAATGTCAAAGGGTAAAATAGTTATTCAGGGACATATATGAAATTTTAAGAAAAGATTATGAGGAAAATACTAATTTAATGATTTCAGGATGAAAAAGGAATAATAGAAAATATTTAAAGGTATAATTGGAATTTTACAAATAAAGTAAAGGTATATTAGGAAAAATAATTAAAATATAGAATGAAATTTGAAATTTTAAAGAATCAGTCATGTGTTGTGACGTGTGTGGGTCAGATTGAGCCAAAGAGTTGATGCCCTGAATTAGTCATGAGATGTTATGTATTGGCTAGACTAAGTCGGAGGGTTGGTACCCAGAATCAGTCAAATACTATTATTTATTGACCCGAATGAGCCGTGAGGATATGTGGTCAAGAATCCGACAGATGTGAATGACTGTTGTTGTGTTTGAATGATATCCAGGATGGTACAAAGTATATTAGTGTACTATGTCAGAAGATTCAGATAAGGTTTCATACTTCACTGATTGGTCGGGTCAGGTAGATTACGAGATCAAGTGGTACTCCAGAATGACTGATGAATGATGTCAGTAATCCCACTATGTGTAGGGGGTGGTCAGAATGGTACTGCGAGTGCCGATCACAATGCGCCCACAGATGATAGCCTTTGAGTTCGGACATAGTTAGAGTATGCTTCCGGAAGACGTCTTAGTGTATTGATGATTTATAATTGATAATAATATGTAATTATTACTTATATATATGTTTTATTATATCGAATGATTTAATACTTATCCCTATTTTTCCATGTGAATGAGACTGCGATGATCATTTTTATGTAGAAGTAGAGATGTCAATAAAACCTGTACCCATGAGGACCGACTTGTTCCAGCCCCCGAGTTTGACGGGGAAAACCCTAGTTGACCGAGGGTGGGCGCGAGGATGGGTAATGCAATCCCGACCTCGATCCCGTCCCCGTCCCGACTTTATATTTAAATTTAAATTTTAAAATATTCATATTTTAAAAGTATTTCATTTTTTTCTATTATATATAAGGTCATTTTTTTTATATTTCACCCATTTCAATTTTTCTTCTACCCACTTTTTAATTTTTTTGTCTTTTTTAATCTTTTATATAAATTAATTTATTACATTATTCTCTCTTACCTTTCAGTTTTTCACATTTCCTTAATCTCTCCCATTAATTTATTTATTTATTTCAATTTTTTCAACCAATTTGATGAACACAAAGTTAATTTTTTTTTCTTTATCTTTTCCTAAATATTTTACGTAAATCTTAATAGTAACTAATATTATTTTATTTATCATTTATATTTATTAGGTTTTATTATGTCATATTTTATTCTTATTATTCTTATTTATCATATATCAAATTTTATCTTAATAAAATAATTATATTTTAAAGGATTAAAAGGAATTAATAATTTAAACTTTTATTACTTCAAACTAATTAAATAAGAATTAACTTATTAAATATTTCCTTATAAATTATATATTTCATATTTTTAAATGACAACTTAAAAATGAATTAACTTATATATATAATCAAATGTTTGAATATAATATTATAAGTATTCAAATATTTAAATATAGTGTTATAATAATAATAATAATGATATAAATATTTTCTATATATATAAATATAAAAAATAATTAAATATTTCTTTTACATACATATTTTAATATAAATATAATAAATTAAAATGTATATTTAATTAATAATAATTATAAATTATAAAATTATAAATATTTATTTATATATAAAAAATACATAATAAAATTGATTTATTATAAATATAATTATCTTTTAAAAAATAATATAGATTGGGGACGAGGCGGAGAACCCAAAATCTAGCGGGAATGTGGACTTAATTTCTAACCCAGACAGGGATCGGAGGCGGAACGAGGATGTTTAAAAAAAATCGGAGGGGGATTGGAGAGACAAAACCCACCTCCGTCCCGTCTCGTTGTCATGTCTATGTGGGAGCAGATTAGAAGTTAAGAGGTAGAGATGCGACTACGGGATAACAAGAATAGTTTAGTGGGATAACTTTGTGGGAGTTATTTTTTCCTGTATCTATATAAATAAATTACATTATTATGTTTTGAAATTTCGTCAATGAACTGTAATTTCAGTCTATCTTACAATTACAATAATATAATGTAATATAAATTGTTGTTATTTATTTATTTACTATTTTACAAAGACATCATTATAGTAGCGATTTCTACCGTGGTTACAATATCAGTATATAACATAAATAAATTCCGTTTTTTAATATTTTTTGTGTGAATGTTAATGAGTTAGTTTATCATTTTATTTTTTTTATCTCATAGAACTAATTTAATCATTAAATAAAATACAAGTTATTAATCACGTAAAATCTACAATAAATAATTGTATTTTTTTACATTCATTTTTTAAAACTAAAATTGTTCATAATAAGATATATTATTTTATTTGATATTTTAATAATATATAATGCAATATTTTATTTTTTAATATAATTTACATATATTACAAATAAAACGTTATTTAATTAAATTTTTATTTTTATATTTATTGTTTTATTGGAAGGACACATATGGATAAGAGAAATAAGATATAAAAAATATAAATTATATATATTTTTTCTCCAATTACATTAAAATAGAGTTACAAAACAATCCCTTTATAAATTGTTAAAAATATTGTCATCTATTTTGTTTTATCTATCATTATTAGTAATAAATACTTAAAACAATGGTTAAATTTTAGAAAAAAACATTTTAGTATTAAAATATAAAAATATTATAAAATTTTACTTAAAAATATTTAATATTTTCAAAATTTTACATAATATATGATATATGTTATTTTCTTAAATTTCAAAATCATTAAAAAAAAATCAAAACACTTGTGAGGATTCAGTTATTAGTAATTGAATTCTCGAAGCCGATTTCTCAATTAAGAAAATTAGGTCTAATTGAAAAAGTATTTTAATAAGGATCTATTTGGGTAATTTATTTTATTTTTTATTTATCTGAGAAAAATTATAACGAAAAGGATAAAAAAAAAAGAAACTATATGTGCTTATAACTAAAAGGCAGAGAAACGCTGAAATCCACCGTTGTGTATGGTGCCGCAGCTTGAGAGTTGAGTTGGGATCATTCACTCCTCAATACGTAGCGCACACACTCTGGAGAGTGACCAAAAACCCCTAAACTTAAACGACACACTCTGGTCGGTTTCTCTTCAGATTTTGTAACCATGGGCAAGAAAAAGTTAATACCTTTCCTCTTCTTCCCTTTCTCTTCCGCTTCCCAATTTCTTTTTGATTCCAGTTTCTAATCATTGTTCTCTCGTGTGCAGGTCTGATTCAAAATCCGACCGCAGTTTCGAGAAGAAGCTCCAATTTTATTCCAGTAACTTTCCGGATCAATTTTCTAAATGTTTTTTCTACTTTTTATTTTAACAATACAACACAAAACTAAATAAGTTTATTCAGAAAATCAAATTGAATGTTAGGTATTATTACATCTGTTTTTTTTGCGTGTTTGATTGTGTAGTTTTACTGTGGTTGTTGGCTTGGTGCATGCTACGTGTCAATATCTGTTCTAAATTTAACCCCTTATAATCAAATCACTTTTGTTATTGCAGAGGTGAAAGATGCTGTTACCTCGTTGAATGCCCAAAAGTCTATTTCTAAGGTGAGAATTTTATTTTCAAGTCTATTGTTATTGGTCTCAAGGAGGATTGATTGAACTGTGGAAGGGTTTCCATTGCTTTCTTATAGGTTTAATTTAATGGCTAAATAACTGTACCTACTGATAAACGGTTTGAACTGTCATATTGTTCATGGACTGGTGAAGATTTCTTAGCTACTTTATTGATCTCCACTTCACCACTTCAGATAGGGACATACTGGGCATTCTGTCCTCTCACTCATAATTAAGCATACATCTAATTTTGCTGAAAGAAATAATCAGAAGATATTAAAATTTTGATCGGTGATGCAAACACCCACATGATGTGACTACACGTCACAGAATTCAAAGAACATTGAGAGGAGTTCCATATAAGTTACTTATCATGTTGATATAAAAAATAATGAAACCGGAGTTAACTATATATGTCTTGCTAAGAGTGTAATGGAAACCAACTTAACTAACTTACTAATCTCAACTAGTATGACCAACAATCAGTAACAGAGGAGTTTTTTAGTTTCATTTTAAAGAGCATGTATACTCTTCGAAAGTAATTGATGATGATTGTGTACACAGTTGATGCGTTGGATACCTGATTAATATTGATTTACAAAACCCTCTTATATTTGAGACTATTAGAAATTTTATGATAGAATAACATTTCCTTTTTTTTCTCCTTTTCAAAATAAGGCTTAGTACACTTCCATGTTCCAAGACAATGTCTCTTATGGAACTATCTTGAATTTGTGAACTATCTTGAACTGATGATTTATCTCTTATGAATTTCACCAGTTTTTTTATTGAGGATGTCCTGAAGATATGGTTGCTGTGTTGTTGTACTGACTGAATCATGATTTTTAAGAGATACATGCTCCTGTAGTTTTATTAATTTTATGAGTGTTGTTGATATTCTGAAAATGTTGTCTTCTATCAGAAAAAGAGCAAACAACAAAGGCGGCGGCAGAAGAAATTGAAGGCATATAACCTATCTTCACTTTTAGAGTCCCTTCCTGAGGTGAAGGCATCAAAGAAACCAGGTCGTGAGAATGACTCCAAACTTAATTGTAAATCAAGGCAGACGTTAGTGTGAGTGTTTCTCATCATTATTTAATATTGCATTGCCAACTTATCATTCGATATGTATCATTGTATTTGTAACCTATTGTCCTTGTTCATTAGGTTGAAGGAAAGAGATAGAGTTTCTGCTGTTCTTAAGGATCCTAGTTTTCAAGCGGATCCCCTATCTGCCATTCAGCAGTACTTACAGAAGACACAACCGGTAGTAGAGGAACAACCCAAGAAAAAAGTGAACAAAAATGGATCCAAGAAGAAGAAGAAATCGAAGGCTTCAACTGGACTACAACTTATGGAAATTTAATGTCTCTGTGTGGATGCTATAATGATCTGCGTTTTTCAAGGTCTTTCCATAATTATGTTACTTCTGTAAAACATTAGATTACTCGAATTATGGATGCAAAATCAATAGCTGTTGTAATTAGTCGCTATTTTGATAGCAGTAATAGGTGACTGACTTACTGCTGAGAACAACGAACTCAATGAACAATGAAGGTTCTCATAAAGAAGAGAAAAGATGGTTCGAATTAGGATTGTGACTATCTTTTAAAACTGAGACATCTAATGTTTCAAATTCATTTTTTGCCACCACCATCGACTATTGATAATTTAAAAACTATTCGGAAAAGTATTTTCCTTCCTGGTATTACATGATGTCTGCTTAAAATTAGGAAGGCCATCTGTGGGTGGAAGTTAATCAAGTCGAGCATCATTGTGGCTAATATATGCTAAAGAAATAAGACCACGATCATGTCATGCTTCATGGTTCGAAATGCTGTTAAATAACCAATCATCAATGGCCATTTTACCGGACATGGCTAAATGTCTTGAATATACCTGGACGGAAAGGAAGAATTGAGTACAGATAATGGTGGGGCAGGATAGAAGTAATTTTTAGATAAAATATGATCTTGAAACAGTAAATGTCTTGAATAAGTTATAGCCTCGCTTTGCCCTCCAACATCCCAGGTAGTAAAACTACCGTTTTTGTATTCTATATTCTGCACATTAAAACCTGATACATCGTAAAACATATTATTATTGGTATTCAATGTCATGAAAATCTAAAAGACACCCTGCTATCTTTCCCACTCCCTCTTTATACATCAAATATTGTATTCATTGAGCATTGAATACATCGTAAAACACATTATCATTGGTCGTTTTCCCCACTTGTAGCTTGTATACAATTGTTTTCTTCCCTGAAAAGACCTACTTTTGGAATCCTCCATTCACATATGTTCTTACCAATGATCCATGTGGTGAGAAAGTTTACCTGATAGAGACATCTAAGTGGATTGTTATGATTGCATTATGAGGGCAGACGGCAAATCTCTTGTATTTTGAGTAGACATCGCGAAAACAATTTCAGAGACACTGCAAAGGAGACTTTATTCTAATTCCTACACACACGAACAAAGACCTTCCAATAGCAGCTGTTTGTTGTTAAAATTACTCTGAAATGAGTCTCCCACACCTCTCATCTGCTGCCTATTTCGAAATAAAGAAATACCAAAATGTGCTCTAAGGCTAATCTAATTAAATCATATAATAGGTCTGCAGAATTAAACCCTCATTTTTTTTTAGTTGAGTCATGATATTGACAATAACACATTTTTTGATGTTGTATAAACTAAATAGAGTTTTATTCCCTCGTGTAGCAGGATATTCTTCCACATCAGTTATAGTAGCAGTATATTATACTGATTTATTGCAACTCTTCACGATATTAAGTGAAAACTCTCCTTAATTCATAACTAATGCAATGAGGACAACATAGTCCACAAATAAAGTTTGTATTGGATTAAGGCAAGGAAACATGGAAAGTTGATGTCATACTATAATTTAAGGGGTAGTTACGTGTGACTTTTCGGGCTTCAATGCCAATTTTTTCATCAAATAATACAGAAAAGAATGATAAAATTTCTGAGCTTCTTTACAACAAGCACAACGAGTCTGAATATGTGATCAATTCTTTGAGGCTGACTGGAAGATAAAAACTGCCGTCAAGACACCCACAAGTGCTGTTACTGCGAGGGCAACTGTAGGGAGGGGAGTTGCAAGTCCAAAGTTCTGCAAAATCAAAGTACAGACATACTGTTATTCTTTTGCAACAGATGTGTAACAATATTACTCTAGAATGGGTGAAGGGGAGGTAGAAATAGGAGTAAGGAGTATTGGAACTCCCTAAACTTAGCTAAAGTTTCAGTTTGCATACACTTTGAAGCTCAAAACTTTAGATGATTCTACTTCGTTCAAGATTCATCAGAAATGCATGATTGTGAACTTAATAGTTTAAAACATCATGAACTGTTGACTACATTAGATTATTAATTTATTACTAAATACTTCAGCTGGATTTACTGGATGTCATGAACACAAATAAAAGTAAAGAAAAAGAGAGATAGATAAGCATATAAGTTAGAATATCAAATTAAACTTTTTATGGATGTGGAGCTTACAAAAAGGGTTATTCATTTGATGAAAATGATTAATTGGATCATGGCTCAAAGATGTAGACAAGTGCTTCCGTCTAAGTCATGCCTGAAGTGACAATCCACTAGTTACCATATGGTTTATACAGCATCATACCTCTAGGAGTCCCTTCCCTGTGGCAATTTCAACAGTGATGGCTACTGCAAAGCCAACCATGGCTAGCCGGCCTAACCAAACATCCAAACTGTTTCCCTGCTGGGCACTTTGCTCACATCTTATAGAAACAGGCATTGCTTTGCATATGGGTTTCCTTCCATTATTTCTTCGAATCACTAGAGGCAAGTCAAACAATACATAATCGGTTAATATGGGCCTTATTTTATTTTAACATTACTTCTGTTCCCCTATCCCCTAACTCATAAAAGGAAGAAAAAAAACATCACTTGCGTCATAAAATTATGGATGGAACTACAAATCCCAGTTCACAATTTTAAAAAGAGTGAGTTTCAGGACAATTTAAGAACTGATCAGAAGAAAGTGGTAAAACCGAAAAGATAAGAAAGGCAAAATCCTCAATGAATGCATCAAAAGTATCAGGTAGCATTTGTACCACTACCATCTTTTACAGCTGCTTCAAATTTGCTAGTTCACAGGCTTAACTCATACAGTCTATCTAAAATGAGAACCTCTACAGATGTGCTACAATGTTGCAACCAAAACAATTAAAAATAAAAAATCAGTAGCAAAAGTTTCAGATGGCATCTGTGCATTTTTCACAATTGCTTCAAATTAGCTAGTTCACAGACCTAACTCACAAGATAAATATATTTTTTTTTCTTTTATAGAAAATACCAGATTTCGCACCACAACTTACTGAGGCTAAAATTAAGTCTAGGATTCAAAATAAGTGCTTTGAATAACAAAGGAAGCTGTGGCCTATAGTAATCCTCCTACTGCACATGTGAGCATGTTTTCATTCAATTCGAAGCCCACATAAGATGAAATTATAGGATAGACTACCCCACAAAGAGTTTCAGATCACAAGTTCTACTTTATCTAAAATCCCAACTAACTGATGCAAAAAAATTCCTTTGTTTAGAATAACATCAGAATAAAAAAAAGGAACAACCCCAAGATCGCATAGTTACCGGAGCATTCAATTTTGAAGTCAAGGGTAGTAATTATTGCGAATGGATTCCAATGGCACTGACATAATTGAACGTAGTTTTCACATTATATGCAAATATGATAAGGAGTAACCACGGGAAGTAGAACTCTTACACAGGGGGGAACCAGCGATGAATGATGCTCGAGTTGGAACCAAATTACTCTGAGGAAAGTGAGCCGCGGGAGGGTATTTTGGTGCAGTGAAAACACATGCATCTTCAACACAGTTGAACTGGGTGTTAGAATTTGATAAGGATACTGTTTCTGATTAAAGGAAAGAGCCATGAGAGACATTACCACGAAAAGAGAGAGAAAGAGAAGCAGAGGGTTGAACAAGTGCCATGGTGGTGAATTTCAACTATCTCAAGTGTGCGGTGCCTACGAATTTTGCAGAGTACAAAGTTTATCTCTTTGCCTTTGTTGAAGCGGTCTCAGTCGCTCATACTTGTTCCACACCATAACCACTCATTCACACTCCTTTAAGTCCTACGTGGCCTCTTTAATGACTGTAAAAGAATATATTTCAAAACATTTAAAAAAATGCGATTAAGAAAGTAATGGAACAACAAAAATATAAACAAGATTCAAAAAATATAATCTACTCTTCACTTTTTTAAAGTTTATCACATTTTTATTTAAAAATAAATTATTAAAAGCTAAAACTAGATTAATAATTGCCTCCTAAAAAAATCGCATTATTTTAATTAAGGAGTTGAAAAGTGTAATTAAACTTTCTAAATTGTAAATAATGTTTATAAATTCACTTTCTTTTATTAGTATATTGTTTGTTTGAGTTGAATTAGAGTTTTAATTTTTTTAATATTATTGATTTGAACACGGTTGAAAAAAATAACTGTAATATTTATAAAAGATTTTTATTTTTATTTAATTATCATTTTCAAAGTTAAATAAACATATAGAAATGAAAAAAATAAAACAAAGAATTTGATAAGTATTTTATTAGAGTAAAAAATATATTATAATTCTTGATTTCTCTAAAAAAACCTTCAATAATTTGAAAAAAAAAATTAGAGGAAGTAGTCATTAACAATACTTTATATAACCGGTCAACCTTTGCAAGAATAAAATTATCACTTTCAAATAAAAATTAATACCTGTTATTGCGAAGAACAATGGTTACTCGCATAGAACATGATAAAAATATGTAATTTAAGTAACAATGTTACTTCTTGTTTTCATGAACCCTGTTGTGTTGTCATCTCATTTTCCGAAGAACACTCCTCAGTTGTGCGGTTGCGCGAATGGCTTCGGTTTCAATTGGGACACACTTGTCCATGTTCCACCATTTGCGAAACTCTAAGCTTCACCTTCGTGGTCTCTGCACGGTTGAATCTTCTCCCTTGTTTGGCCCCTCTTCTTGCAGAATCAGATTTACAGGTACCATTCCCAAGTTGCTCCGTCACAATGTATTGGCACGTGCTGAGGATAAGGCTAGAGACCCTATATCTTCTTCGTTTCAGCCTCAACAAAGTTCACAGTCACAGGTTCAGGTTCCTCTTCTGTATGACCCATAACCAAGTTCTAAGATTACCCTTTTAGTCACCATGCTTTTCTAGTTTATGATATTGGATATTCGATGCTGGAGTGCATAATCTGGGTTAAGGGTACCTCACTTTTCCATGAAAGATCCAAATTTGCGGTAGATTGATAAAATATTCAATTCCAACAGTTTTTATTTGGAATTGGTTTCTTGCATGTGACTATTTTTTTAAATCTACTGTAATGCTTTATTGATTGGCCAATTTTTAAAAAATGTTAAAAATAAAAATGGTAGTAGAGTGAACTTTAATAAGAAACTAAAAATGTAAAATCAAACAGTTACTTTTGGTGATTCAGTCAGTTAACATGTGCATCAAGGAAAGAGTGCACCTTAGTTATGTTACAAGGTCAGAGAAACTGTTTCTTATATGTTAATAATGCCCACACCGCTCTTCACTTTGGAAATGGTATCAGAACTTGACACCAGAATCTAGAAGTTGTGATCCTCTTTGTTCACTCGATGAAACAAGTTCACAGGAGTTTGAAGAAAGCTACCAATCTAAGACTGATTCGCTCAAAGCTGTAGCAATATTAGCAGCAGCTGCAACTGGGGCAGTGGCAATTAACCATTCTTGGGTGGCCACTAATCAGGTCCGTCAATCTCCTATATTGGTCTATCCTGATTTTGATGTTGCCCATTTCACAATGAAGTTCGTACTTTTGGGAAATGTTTCTAAATAAGCATTTTCTAATAGTTATTTGTTTTCTATGAAATTGGACTGCAGGATCTTGCTATGGCATTGCTATTTGTACTAGGATATGCAGGCATCATATTTGAAGAATCTCTAGCCTTCAATAAAAGTGGAGTTGGACTGTTGATGGCTGTTAGCTTATGGGTGATACGGAGTATTGGGGTAAATGTCTACCTTTTTCTTGTTTTGACTTTTGAGATTAGTCTTTGTTTAATGTGTCCATTGTCATGCTTTTGAGATTTAGATCGCTGTTTGTTTGAAAATGTGTAGGACACTGAACACTGTGAATTCTTTTAACAAATCTACTTCCCTATATGCGCATATAAATCACAATTGAAAAAGTGATGCTCAAGTGTTTGGTACCATATACCCATATACAATTTTTTTTCTTAGTGATTGTTTAATGTTTATTTAGTCATCTTGCAAAAGATAGGGCCGCATTAACAAGGATTAGAACAAGGACAATTTCTATGTGTGTCACCAGTACCATTATCTTCAAAAGTATGACCCTTCCATGTCCAGCCTTTAAGTAGAAGCTCAACTTCTAGGGTGAAATAAAGGATGCCATGTTTTCAAATTGCTTTTCTCATCTCATCCAGTATATTTTGATGCAAAAACAAGGACTTGCTCTCTGCCAATCCCCCAACCTTAGCAATAATTTTAAGCTATAATTAGGTAAATGGGTAAACCTCCCCCTTCCCCCCTGAACTTTTTACATGTAAACAAAGGGGCCTAACTATGGTTAAACAAAGGGCCTAACTTTTTACATTTTTTTGGTAACTATTGATGCACACAATATGTTGTAGAAAAATGTAATTTTCTGACCCTATAGGTACTGTCTCCTTAGTGACAGCATCCCAGAATACAACCACTTAATAAATGATAGTTTGCCTTCTGATCTGTTAGTTATAGACACTTGTGACTTGACAAATATTGGTTGGGGTCAATTATATCCCCAATATCCCTTCACTTGTTGAACTTCAACATGTCCAGTCAGTGGTCCGTTTATATGTATCCGTTTTGAAGTCAGTTTTTATCTTCCACTTTCTTTCTTTCTTTTGATTGGATTTTCCATTGCTATTTTCTATTTATTTTTATGGATTGTATATAGGCTCCTTCAACTGATATAGCTGTTTCAGAGCTTACACATGCATCCGCGGAAGTCAGTGAAATAGTATTTTTCTTGCTTGGTGCAATGACCATTGTTGAGATTGTTGATGCTCATCAAGGATTTAAGCTGGTTACTGACAATATTACAACCCGAAATTCACGTCTTCTCCTCTGGGTGGTAAGTTCTTTCACCGCTTTGTGCCTGCATGGTCAACCCTCTCAAAAAAAATCTTCCAATAGATTCTTTGCAAATTAAGAGTTCTTGGAAATTTGATTACATTAGTTGTTGAAAATTACAGTTAATGGTCAAATTTGGATGATACACACAGCAGGAAGGGGCTCAGATTCAAGAGCTCCTTGTCACAAAAAAAATGCTGTACCAGTTAAGCTGCACAATAACAACAATTTTCCCAATTTTGTTACTTATAAATGTGGCATTTAAAAGAATAGACATCACAAACAAAAGATTGCAAAAGACTTGGTGCACTTTTGCTGCTGGATTGCTTTTGGAAAATAATTGTTCTTTTAAAGGTCTCAAAAAGTCGATAAAAAAACAATTATTCTTTAAAATAAGCTGAACCAGACATACTCCAAATCCCCCTGCCCCTTCCCAAACCCTAAATTCTAAATCTTCTTTATTTGAATCTCAAATTATTTTCTGTCCCAGTAATGGAAGTTGCCATATTAACGTTCAATTTGCAGATTGGACTTGTTACATTTTTTCTCAGTTCAGTTCTAGACAATCTGACATCCACCATAGTTATGGTTTCTTTGTTGCGGAAATTAGTACCTCCATCAGAATACCGAAAGTAAGTGTCTGTTATGTTGTTAACTTCCAGTGTAATGTTTAACCCATGTGATGTCGTATTAAGTATTGCCATATTTTCTAAAATTCACAATATTGACAGACCGGGAACAGTCATCCATTGCCTAAGGTTTCAATCATTAGAGTTCTAATTTTGATAGCTCTGCTCCTTCCTGGAGCAATTTTACTGCAATACTCTTGCTTTCTTTTTCTTTTTTCATTGTCTTAAAAATTCTCAATTCTCATTGGGGGGATCTTGACAATTTTTCCTCCCAGTGCTTATGATTCATAGATAATATGAAATGGTGTTAGCCTTATCATATATATTTGCAATCTGTATTTAGTGATATTTTAGAAAAAATACACTTTATCAAATCCTCAGGAGGTTGATTTGGATTCTGCTGACAGGATTCTTGGAGCTGTTGTTGTAATAGCAGCAAATGCTGGGGGTGCATGGACTCCTATTGGTGATGTTACAACTACTATGCTGTGGATACATGGCCAAATATCTACAGTTCAAACAATGAAGGTTGTCTGTTGGAAACTTGATCCTGTGTGATTTGTTCGTTTGAATCACCAGAAAATTTTTGTATGAAACTACACGATAAATTTGTGGTATATGAAATTTGCACTAACAAGTAATATTTTCCTCAAATATTCTTTGGTTTCAGTGATTATAAACATATACTTTATGGCCCTATACTAATATTTCCTTTATGAAAGTCTCTGTTACTAATCTTTGATTGCATGAAGAACACTTGGATTCAATTAAGTGCAATGCAGAATGAATAAGTGTATATAATTGCATTTAATTTACATGCAGGATTTATTTGTCCCTTCAGCCGTTTCTCTAGCTGTTCCACTGGCTCTAATGTCTCTGACTAGGTACTCTTTTTACACAGCAAGAGACAGCCATAAAGGCTGATTTTGAATAGTGACGTTTAGGTCAAATATTACAATTCAGGTGATGTTAGTTTTTCTTCTTCTGCTCAGTGAAGTTAACGGGAAGGGAAAAAATTCTCCCAATGTCTTGGCTTCTGAGCAAATTGCTCCTCGAGGACAGCTTGTTTTCTCAGTGGGTTTAGGAGCTTTGATTTTTGTCCCAGTATTCAAGGCTCTAACAGGTTTGCCTCCATACATGGGGATGCTGCTTGGACTCGGTGTGCTTTGGATCCTCACAGATGCAATCCATTTCGGTGAATCTGAAAGGCAGAGGCTAAAAGTACCACAGGCTCTCTCAAGGATAGACACTCAAGGAATACTATTCTTCCTGGGAATTCTATTATCCGTTAGCAGGTAATAAGGAAATATATTTTTAAAATTTTCTGCTCTGGTAAGCTTTAGACTATAACCGAGTGTTCATGCATTTAAATCAATGAAAAAATGTCAACAATATGACATTGTCCCTTTGAATAGAAGAGGACTTGCTCTGACTTTGGATAAATTTCTACAGAAAGTAGAAAGAGTAAAGTAACTTCTCCCATAGGCTAATTTTGTAAAAGCTATCTAATTTAGCCTGCCCAAAAACTGATTTTAACTTGTGGAAAATAAATTTCTTTAACTTTTTTCTTCTTAATTGCTTCTTGTATAAGTGTTAACGAAAAAGCTATCCATACATTACTTTGATAACCCAAAAGTATAGTTGGACTTCCCAACAATAGTCCTTCTGAGAAGATGATATTTTACCTTTTATTATTATTATTAAATGGACACACTTTTTTCTTTTGCATGAACTGTAATTACATACGTATTCTTTCCTGACATATCTTTAAATTTCTAAATTAGTCATGTTAACTGGTTTTATTTTATCAATTTTACTCATCATGTTTGGCAGCCTGGAGGCAGCTGGGATTCTTCGGGAAATAGCAAACTACCTTGATGCACATGTTGCTAGCATTGAACTGATTGCAAGTTCTATTGGTCTCATATCTGCAGTAATAGACAATGTTCCATTGGTTGCTGCAACAATGGGAATGTATGATGTCACTTCCTTCCCTCGAGATTCTGAGTTCTGGCAACTGATTGCATTTTGTGCTGGTACTGGTGGATCCATGTTAATTATTGGCTCAGCTGCTGGAGTTGCGTTCATGGGGATGGAAAAAGTGGACTTCTTTTGGTACTTACGAAAGGTATTTTCCACTGTACACATCAGACAGACAGAACGATAATTTGATATGATAAAATGTTTGTGTAGTTCATGACAGAAGTCATTTGACTTCTTTTTTGCAGATTAGTGGCTTTGCTTTTGCAGGTTATGCTGCTGGTATTGTTGCCTATTTAGCACTTCATAACCTCAACATCTCCCTACCAACTCTAGCAGAGGTTCCTTTCCTTTCTGGTTCATAAATCAAGAATTCAGAATTCATTTGATTCGATTTCATGGCATCAAAGGCAGCAGTTTCAAAATTAAGAATTTGGTAGACAAGAAGTTATATAGAAAAGCATATCAGATAACTAGAGGAAGTGAGAGTTAATCTTGACCAATCTTAGTTCATTGAATTGAATGGTTTAGATTATTTTTGTTTAAACTTTCATGCTCTTGATAATCATGTATATATTTTTTTTAGAAACCTCAAGTGTCATTACAATATTTACATCACGAGGATTAAACATATGAATCTCATATTTCCAGACTCGTGTAATTTGTATTTTCATATAAATAATGCATTGAGTTTATGGGCAAAGTGTTGGTGCAATCACCAGATATCTGTTTTGTGACCTGAGGTTCATCTTCAAATATTGAAACAACCCCTCCAAGATTGTATATTCTTTAAAATTTAATGAGAAAATTATAGATGTGTATGGATATAAAGGGTCAATAACTGATTTAATAATTTTCTTAGTTTGTTATTTTGATTTTCAATATTTGAATTGTGAGTTTTATGAATGATCTTGAATGATAGAAATTTCCCAATGAATAATCATTTAATAATAATTGAAAATCATCCAGGTACATAGTTATAGATTAATAGTTTTTATGCAATTTGTTTGTAATTATTGAGTAAAATAATTTGGAGGTAACATAATTCAGAGAAAATTTATTGTAAAATAATCATAAAAAAAGCGAAAATACAATATAAATTAATTAATGATGATTTGATACTAAGATCATAAATGATGGTCTATGATTCTATTTAAATATCAATTTTTTGAAAAAAAAAACTTAATCTATATTTAACAAGAAAAAAAATATTGTTTTTGATGTAAGTTACTATTCTTATTTTAAAAAATTGGACTGTACCTGTTGATAATTTTTTTTTAATTTTCAAATAATAATTTTGATTGAATTATACAAAAACAAAAAAATTAGTTGATTTTTGCCACTCAATCGATTTTAATAAAAAAATATTTATTAATATATTTTATATTTTATATTAATTATATTAACTTTACATAAAAATTATTTTTATCATTTTTTTATTTATTATTTGTCTTATATTTTTTAATATATTTATATATTATCGGTAAAATTATTTCTATAATTTTTTTATGTTATTTTTAATTATTATTTGTCTTATATTTTCTTAATGTATTTTATATTTATATATTATCTGTTTTATACTTTTTAATGTATTTTATTGTTGTATGATTATGATAATAATATTTAATATTTTTTTTATAAAAAAATTATTACTATTAATAAATTTATTATATTATAAAAAAATTATTTGATTGAATCTTACTCATCTTCAATTAATCCTTTAATTCATTTCATCATCATCTTCTAATCAAATAAGTGATTAAAATGGTGGGAGTATAATATGAATAAGTGAAGACAAAGAAGGGGGATAAGAAAGTGTGATATCCTTCACTGCATTCAAGTGCGCGTGGATTCTCAAACATTTTGACAAACCATTTCTAAGGACCATGTTTTTCTAAGGGCTATGTTTTTCCATTCCATGAAACTTCCCTTATCAGTATGCTTCCTCAATTCCAACAAAATCAACGGAATTCAGTGTCTTTCAAGGGATCATGGGACGTTTTCACTTTTACCTCTGTGGATGCACAATAACACAATATTATGAGTAAATCATATAAAATGCTATGGAGTTTAATTATTGATCCAATATTTTATACTAAAAATGTGTCAATTTTGTTTGGTACGTAGCATTTGATGAGATAAGAACCTAATAAATTATTCAATTCTTTACTCTATGAAACAAATAAGTAATTATAAAAAAATGAAGAAAGAGAGAATAATAGGTTAACCCCGTGGAGCACGCACCAGAGGGAGACAGAATATTAAACAGTTATGAGTTTCTTACTCTCTATTCGCCACCTCTGAAGAGGACGCGCTGGGAGAGGCGCGTGGGGGATAATGGATGGTCCAATCCTGAAGCAATATATGGGTGTTGCCTGAGAGTTGCGGCAGGAGAGGATCACAGGTGAATGCATTTCGGAGGTGATGGGGATTCGGAGGTTCTTCCCCACACTCGCCATAACCCTCTCCATACTCTTCGGAAACGGAAACCCCGTTCTCAGCTTCGACGGCGGTGGCAGCCACCAGAAGCAACAACCTACTCTGTGCCAAGAACTCATTATCCCCTCCGGTTACCCCTGTTCTGAATATACGGTACGTACAATCTTTCACTTATAAACTTCTTCCGTCTTTCGATTGTCACCGGAAGATTAGTTAAGTCAACGTCCTCGTTTCATAATTCCGATTCAATGATATCATATTCTGTTTCTGTTTTCTTTAATCTGAAAATTGAATAACCAACTATTGCTTGTTTTGTCACTCTCAGACTCAAACCAAGGACGGTTTCTTGTTAGGTCTTCAGCGCGTCTCTTCTGCTTCTTCTCTTCGTATTGGGAACGATGCAGGGAGAGGTCCTCCGGTTCTGCTTCTGCATGGCTTATTCATGGTCACTTCCTCGTTTTACTCATCGCTTTCATAACAAGTTCATTCTATAAATGCGTTGACTGCACTACTCTATGTTGCTTGCATGCTTCCGTCAATCACATCCAACTTAACTTTATAGTTTTCAATTTCCCGATTCCGTTTCTTACGTTGACTCAAATGCCTTTGATTGGTGTCTAAGAAGTTTCCAAATGTTTTTTAACTGCAGTCCACTTTTATATTTGGGCTGTGTTTGGGATAGTCTCAAGCTTTTCTCCTTCGCACCAAATTCGAAATGAATAAACAGTCAATTTAATCTCAGATTATTACCCTCTCTCCTACATGGTCCTTTTAAGGTAAAAAAATGTTATCTAAGTTAAAACGATTGATATTTCAATACTTGAGAGATTACTTATATCATTACCTTGAGGACTACATAGGATAGAGGGTAATGCTTGGAGGACCAAATTGGTGGTATATTTAGATCGAAACATTTGTATCATGTTTTAACCCTTGACTTTTTTAGTAGGAGAGTTCTTTAACACTTGTTAGTGGGAAATTCATTTTTAAGTTTTAAACTGTTTGATTGAATCTAAGCAGTGATTTTTTATGCGGTCAGGCTGGTGACGCTTGGTTTCTAAATACTCCAGACCAATCACTTGGCTTCATACTTGCAGATCATCGTTTTGATGTTTGGGTAGGAAATGTGCGTGGAACACGCTGGAGCCATGGGCATATATCTTTGTTAGAGAAAAATAAGGTGGATGGCTTCTTTATCCTTGGTGTTATAAAATTCATTGAGTTCCTGCTGGCTGTTTGTGATAGTTTTTATTGTTTTATTATTTTCAACTAATGAAGCTGATTCTTTTTTTTTTTTTTAAATGTCAACCATTGGAGAAATATTAAGATAAAAGGGGGGAGAGTGACTAAGGATATATATTGATAAACAGAAAATTTAGCATTGGATGTTGGTACTGAAATATTTACTTAAGTTTGTAGTTCATTTCACCCTGTCTGTGATGTGTGACTAATATAGCTTTGGTTGATCGTAGAAATTCTGGGATTGGAGCTGGCAGGAATTAGCCCAGTATGATGTTGCAGAAATGATCAATTACATCAATTTAGTAACAAACTCAAAGATATTTGTAGTTGGGCATTCCCAGGTATTTGATTCTTTACATTGTCCTTTCACTTGATATTTTGCTGTTGCTATAGTACATTTTATATGTTTCCATGCTTCATAGGGGACAATTATATCTTTTGCTGCCTTCACTCAACCGGAGATAGTAGAAAAGGTTGAGGCAGCAGCTCTTCTATCTCCAATATCATATTTGGATCATATCAGTGCACCTTTTGTACTTAGAATGGTTAAGATGCACATTGATCAGGTATTTCTTACTTTGTTCCATTAATTTTCACTGTAGAAATGGATCCTTGATATGATTACTGGTTTTGTTCAGATGATTCTTTCCATGGGTGTTCATAAACTAAACTTCAAAAGGTTTTAGATCTTTCTCCTTTTCTTATGCTTATGTTCTTCATATTTTGAGTTTAGCAAATGTTCACTTCATATATTTTTCTTATTTCACTTTCAGCGAATGGGGGGCCAATCTCTTGGTTTCCTTGTGTGATACCCGCCTAAGTTGCAATGGCATGCTCTCAACCATAACAGGTTCATGTCTTTTACACTGTCTCGGTCTATGTTTCTGTCCTTTCAGAAAAGTATTTGATTCTGAGATCACAAGTTAGACTGTGGATTTTCATGCTGAATTTAGCTGTTTGTTGATAATGTTAGTGCCTTATTCAATTATGAGAACTACAGTCTATTTTGTCTTTGTGAGTGCTAAACTGTCTGTTTTATCCAAATAATATTCTCTACATCATGGAGTTCTCTATTGCCATTGTCGGTGGGATGATTAAAATTACAATGGATTCATTTCCTTGTTCTCTGTTGGATGTGCTGTTGTATCATTGTCTAGTTATCCATTAGTAGAGCTGAGGTATATTGTTTCTTTGGTTCATAAATAGATGAGTGTGCAAGACATGTGAAGACAAGACAATTGCTTTCTATTTACATCTTGAAAGGACATCTAAATCTTTTTTCCTTCCATACCTCACTTAAGTGTCAGTACTTAGTTGATTTGTCGCAGCAACCATGATAATTCCTGCTATGTGCAATTTAAAACATTTCTGAGTTTGCAAGGGAGTTCAACTTGGTCCAAATAAAAGATTGCAAATTTCTGAATTTTAAACTTTGTTAGCCACTCAATTTAATTGATGGATCACTGAGTTGGATGTTATGTGAAATCTGTATCCTCTAGTCTAGAGCATGGAAGGGGTGAGCCCTCTTTGTTAGGACAGAAGGGATGGGACAAATAGTTGGGGACAGTTTGGCAGAGGCGATCTGTTAGTTAAATAATGGGAATGAAGATGGATGGATTCATTCAGAGCAAATTAGGAAGTTTGTACGAAAGGGGAAACTTGAAGAAAAACCCTTCTAAGACAATTCTTTCTCCTATTACATGCCTTTCGTAGAATGAAATTGTTTGTTTCTATCAATTTCTCTTTTGCTTTCTTATCATAATACTCTACGTTATTATTATTTTTTAAGTTTTGTCAGGATTGTGTAGCAAGAGACGTGTCTGCCTGTGACTGACAGCGTGCAAGTTCACAACTCTATCTGATTTTTTTTTATTTTTCTAATCACAAAAATTATCAGTATGCTAATTAAAACGTGAAATTATACAATTATTGTCATGCAGGCACTTTTCATTAACTTGAATTTGTATTTCAGTGTTTTGCATTTGGATTTTTGTTGGGAATCCTTATTTGCGTTATGCAATTATCTGTTATTGAGATGCACCAATGTCATGTCATCAGTATAGGGAAAGTTTTCAAGGATAAGGTAGTAGAGTGAAATGACCCAATTCAGTGTCTTTATTCTATTGTTGTATCAGCTTGAGAACTATCTTATCTACCTTGAAAATAATTCTTGCCATTGCTGTTGGTTCACCGACTTTACCTGAAACTCAATATGGTGATTAAACTGTTCAGATCTGGTTACATTGATGATGGCCTTGTGTAAAACATATTCTCTCTCTATAAGAGCTAATATATGTTGTTGGCTAACGTAATAACTACTTCATTAACTCATTTTGACCAATTTGATGGGAGATTGCTCGTTTGGGTCATTCTACAAGTTTCAATAGGTTATTTTTTGTTTCCTTCATTCTTTTTTAATTACTACTTTTCTACTCAAGACAATTTGATGAAATTACAGGGAAGAATTGTTGCTTCAATGAGTCGCGTGTGGAGTTTTATCTTGAACAAGAACCTCATCCATCGTCTTCCAAAAACTTGAACCACCTTTTCCAGAGTATGCTTCATTTTCTTAATTTGAGTATTAATGACACTTTCTTACTCCCAAGTATGTGTGGCTTATGTTTTTACTTTGCGGTACTTAGCAACCGTAATTTAATGTTGTTGCTCTTACTTATGAATACTAGTGTTTCTTATAATAATGTCTAAAAATAATCATAGCATTTGCATGATGCCAAATAGCGAAACTGCCCTTTGTAGGGAGGGGATAAGAAATATTGGAAAATTAGTCTGAACTCTGGGGACAATGTTTTTTTGTGTGTACATTAGCCAGGGGAAATGAATTTGATAATTTGTCTAAACGTCAACTTTAATTTTTGTCGGTTTATTTTTGTGGTTGATAGTATTGTTTAGCTCTTCGTGAATATGATTGATCACCTACTTAGTACTTGGAAATATGATAACCTTTATAAGAGTAGCATGATTCTGATGATTTCCTCAAATGGACTAGTTTTATTTACTAGCTTGCAAGTAGATTAGCTAAGCAAGTTCTGCTATATTTTATTCTTTTAGTAATGTATATGCCGTTACGTCATGGGATACATGCTTATGAAGTTTATGACATACTTTATCTTGCCAAAGACCACACCTGTACAAAAATTCCTTACTAACTAGCAACTTCCATCTTAACTTATGTTTAATTTATTTAGGTGTCTAACAGCCGGTGTAACCGGTCCTACTTAGTGGGAAAAATGTTTAGCTGATGTTATTAAATATCTGATGGTTTCCAAGAGCTTGTCTTTTGAACTTCATGTTAGAAATTTCTGTACTGAAGTGTGATTACCTACTTTCACCGTGTTATTTACCCTGGCTTTTTACCAAATTTTTTTATGATCGTCTAGAAATCAATATTCATCTCGTGTGTCATTATTCTTAATGGTTTTCTCTGATGACCTCGATTGTTCACCAGTGATCCGCAAAGGTACCTTCTCCAAGTATGATTATGGAATGCTAAAAAATATGATAGAGTACGGCAAGTTCAAACCACCTAAGTTCGACCTTAGCCGTATACCCAAATCATTACCTCTGTGGATGGCTTACGGTGGAAACGATGCTTTAGCAGATATAACCGATTTGCAGCACACACTTAAGGAATTGAGATCCACACCGGAGGTGATTTATCTTCAAAACTACGGTCATGTTGACTTCATTTTAAGCTTGCAAGCAAAACAAGATCTCTATGACCCTATGATTAGTTTTTTCAAGTCAACCGGAAAATTTACTAGTATGTAAAGTTTGCTGCCTTCCGGTATGATGGATGTAATATAATGGTCTAATGGGTCCATAGAAATCTATTACACTTTCTGTGAAGTTAAAATATTAATATTCTGTGGGTGGGGTGTAAAGAATTTCCAGATCTATAAATATTGGCATTGCTTGGTCATATTTTACCATTTTGGTCTGCCTTCAGCCGATTGGTTAAAAAGCTAACGGCATTCATCGTAGCGAAGCCATAAAGGTTGAAACGTTGAGACTGCTGCATGTGCTTATAAGGTATATTATAATGATTAGTTACTAAAGCATCATTTTTTATTTGATCACACACTCTTATGCGTATAAAAATATAATATAAAAAGAACTACAAGGAAGGGAAATATTCTCAATAATCACGAAACCACTGAATTATATTTAACTTATCATTCATCGCCACGGTCCCACGATCTGATAAATCAGCCACATCAAGTACATCTATTGATGTTTGATATCTAAGCCTATGTTGTTTTTAAGTTGATCTAAATGAAAGAGCAAAATCTTTGGAAAAATAATATTGAGTACTGATTTGTTCACAACCGCAGCCATCAAATACACAATCGAAAATAAAATAATAAATTTTATTATTATAACGTGAAAAATAGTTTTTAATTGGATGTATATGCAAAAACCAGTTGTCAAACAAACATTATTCAACAATATTATTTGACAATCAATCCAAACAAGTGTTATTTTGGGTTCTAAAATAATCATCGTATATTGCAAACTTCAAAAAAAGTAACCAGGTGGTGGATTCGCGTCGATGAATTTTAGGCATAAACTACTAATATTCAACGTTCATCTCCAACATGACACATTCTTAAAAATCAACAACCGCTCGACAATTCCTAGTACCTTAAATACGTCCAAATGTCTAAAGAATTATAAAGAATGCAGAACGTTTAATATTAAAAAAAGAAGAAATCTTTAAAAGGAATTGGAAGAGTGGGTAGTTCCCATTTCCTACCCAATAAATTTTATTTTGCTTGTATGAATGTGCAACGGACCTACTTGCAGGTAATTTATCCATAGCATGTGTTCCGTACTCTACTTTTTTTTTTTTTTTTTAAGTAGGCTTATATGTGGTTGACCCTAACAGCTCCAAGCTTTTTGATATCTTTCACAAATGCATCTATATTCCAGGCAGAGGAGCCATTTGCAGCCACTGCGGCCTCTGCAGCTGTCTTCCACCTTAAGGCGTTTTGCTTCAACTCCTCTGCTTTTGGCCCTATTGTTGCTTCCAATAAGCACTTCTTCACCTCATCTCTGTTTACAACCTTCTTCTCAGCCTGTCCATAACCCAGTTTAATCCCCACCCCATAAACATCAGTCAAAAACTTTGCATTTGTCACTTGGTCACCCCATGCTGGAAATGTCAACATTGGCACTCCCAAAGTCAAGGCTTCCATTGAAGAATTCCAACCACAATGTGTCACAAAACATGCCACAGAAGGATGAGCCAGAACTTCCTCTTGTGGGCTCCACTGCACCACTTTGCCCTTGTCTCTTGTCCCCTCAAAGAACCCATCAGGCAAAACATGAGGCGGAGGCCCAAGTTTATGGGGTGGTTTTAAAACCCACAAAAACGAGACGTTGGAGTCCAATAATCCATAGGCAATTTCTGTCACTTGTTCTTGAGGCAGGTGCACAATACTCCCAAAGGAAATATATACCACAGACGCCGGTTCCCTTGAGTTCAGCCACTCTATGCAATCATCACTCCTCATAAAATCACCACGAATATCACTTGTGCCTGTTGCTATTGGGGTCTTGAACAAAGGACCAACGGGCCTTATATGCACGAACTTTGAAAGATAGTTTATGTAATCAGCCTCTAATTCCTCAAAACTGTCCACCAACACACAGAACGGCTTGGACAAGTTCTTAAACTGTTCCAATATGAGTGTCCCCAGAAATGGATATGGGCTAAAAGGATGCAGAAAGTCTGGAACTTCATTGTATTTAAGGACTACAGAAAGTAATTGAAGATCAAGATAAGGATCATCATGGGAAGGGAAAGTTACCAGCTTGTGGAAATAACTATAGTATGCGGTGAAGACAGCAGTAGATTGAACCCATAACATGGCCGAAGGAATACCATGCTCAGCAGCTACATCACAAACCCAGGGAACAAAGGGGTTGTTTATGATGCATGAAATTGGCTGGTTTGCCTCAGCATGCTCCTTGATCACTTGGGAAACATATTGCTTCCCAAAAACCTCAACTTGAGCATTGAAGTCACTGAGAGTTTTCTTCTTAGAACCATCACCATCACCATCTACCATGCCACCATCTTCAAAGAAATCGAACTTGAGAAAACCATCACCAACGGGCGTGACTGATTTGTGCGTGATATTGTTAGCTGTTCGCATGTGTTCGCCAGCTAACTCCGTGGTGGTGAATGTTACAAACAAACCCTTAGCAGCAAGGCACTTGGCAAGTCTAAGGAGAGGGTTTACGTGACCTTGCCCTGGGTAGGACACCATGAGGACATGAATAGGAGCTTCAGACTCCATTTTCTTTTTCCTTCACAGCCTTTTATTGTGTTCTTGGGATGTATAGCGAAATGTGGTGCGAGTATATGATTTATATACCATACAACCTCCTCACCCATGTAACTTGATAAACCAATGGAAGATTTAATTTTTCCTTTTGGTGTTTTAATCAAAAGAATAAAAGATTCAATCTTTCATGTCTTCATATGTAAAAACTGCTTTTTTTACACGTATATCTTTTGACTCATTTTAGTCTTATAATTTAAAATATAAAGAGACTAAAATAAATGACGTATATAAACAGAGAAAGCTTGAAATAAATAATTTTAAATACAAATACAACAATAGATTAATAATTATATTATATTTCTCTCAAATTAGATAATATTTTCTCTTTAAACCACGCTAATATTTATATGCATACGTTCGGTTAAAAGAAATTCATTTTGATTCGTGGGTATTGTATTCACCCGTCATTTGAAACACATATTAGTATTAAAATAATGAATATGCTGTAATTAGAATGTCTGAGTAGGGTAAATGCTTTTAATAATAATTTTTTTTATTATGTCGAAAAAATATTATCGTTTGTATATATCTCATTATAATTAATTTATAAATTTATTTTTATTTTATATATTTTCTGTCTCTTCTCGTGTGTTTTTTTTTCGCACCCAAAGGTAGAGTTTTAGATTTGACTATTTATGTGTGTAGACGGATACCACGATGTTTTTTTCAAGACGTATGTGGTTGTTGGTTTAGGGTATGACTTATGACTTTTTAATCGGTTTGATAATAAGCTTGTAGTACATAAATAAATTTGTCTTTATATATATATATATATATATATATATATATATATATATATATATATATATATATATATATATTAAAGCCAATTAAAAAAAATAAAAAAATAATAGGGTGACAAAGACAACTTTGTTAGTTGCACATAAAATTCCACCAAACCAAAACAAATACAATTTCTAAACACAACCTATGCGTATAATTGGTCTCATAGAATTTTCAAAAGATGGGACTTTGAATATATGAAAGTGGTATACAATTTATATAAAATTTTGATTATTTTTTAAAAATGTTTTTATGTAGAAATGGGTAGGTTTGCGTGTTTCGGAAGTAAAAAAAAAAGCTGTAGTCATGAAAGAAAAATTACACTATTTGAAGAATATATATATATGTATATGTATACAATCTCACTTTCTATTGAGTGTAGAACGATAACTTCTATGAAACAACTTGGTATTTTTTTTTTCGTTACATTGGTGACTGTGAGAGAATGTCTTTAAGGAAATAATAATTTTTATTTTCTTAAAAAATTACATATTGTCTGTTGAAATCAACAAAATTAAATAAATCAGTTTAGTTTGGTTCATAATGTATAAATTTAAGATAATTTAACTTATGAAAAGATTTATTTTTTATTTAATTATTATATGTATAAAAGTACTATAATCATTTTTTTTCAATTTATTAACAAATCGATCCACAAGTTAACATCAAGTTATGTTAAAAAAAAAAAGTTAGTGTAGTATAGTCTAATGATAAAATGATTTACCAAATTTGATAGAAAAAGTAATTGTCACTTTTATTCTATATTTGAAAATTAATTAACTTATGCATAAATTAATTTATAAAAAAATTCTAATTTTTATACGTGATATTATAAAAAATTTGAAGTCAACAATACATGAAAATTATATTTCTTTTGAATAAAAGGTTTCAATAAGGTTATTTTAATTTTATTTATATTACTAATAAAAATAATCGCATGTAAATTTAACTACATTTAAAAAAAATCTAGTACAAATTTCCAATTAAATTGAATTGAATTTTGATATTAAAATTATAACTAAATGAAAAAAAAAACAATTTTCTTAATTTCTTAAATATAAAATACATTATTTTAAAAATTACATACCCGACAAAAATGGCTTCATTTCATGGAATGAACCTTTTTGAGAAACCGTAATAAAAGAATATAGAAAACATGGATAATTTTAAATATATCTCCTCATATAAAATACAAAGTTAATCTTCTTTTAATTCTATATTAATCTAACTTAATTTATAAAATCAGACAAATTTCATGATGTTCTAGGAATTGTTTGTTAGTGTCAATGATGTCTGTTCATAATAAAAACAATAAAATAAAAATATCTTTGATGCGTGGATTAGACAAATCATAAATAAAGTTCCACGAAGCATGAAATTTCAACTTAGAAATTGTCTCTATGTTTGTGTCTTTAGCCAAATTCGATTCAACAAGGATAAAAGTGTTAGCCACATGTTTAGAAAAAACTTCTGTAAAATTAATCTTGGTTAAATTTAAAACAAATTATGTTAGATATTTTCGTTTCAGAAACAAACTTGTTACAAGACTTTATGCAAAAAAATTTATCTAACACTAATTACGATTGACCACTTCTTTTCATTTTTATATTTTGAAGCAATTTAATTATATACACAACAATGATAAACACTTATGTTTTTATGAAATCAAGTTTTAGTATGACACAGTTAATCCTTCACATTTGAAACCAAACATGCATTGTTTGGATTACATTTGTACGTGTTTATGCTGGTCTTTTCCATTAATTAAGAATTTGACTTTATTTCTTCTTGTTAAGTAATAATGTTTGTTACACATATACCCATATAATACTCTCATGCTTTAAAATATAACTATACTATTAAAATTATGAATACAATTTTATAGAATTATCTCATTTTTACAAATTAGGAGGTCTTGTTCATTGAAGAATGATGGAAATGTGGAAGTGGAACACATAGAGCAAATACCCATAACTTATCACTTATGAGTGATAACTGTGAACCACTTTTGCAGACTGTGCCCTACTTTGCTGGGACCTTATCTAGCCAAGATATGTATATCTTGATTAGATCCTGAGTACAAATTTGTTTTAAATATAGTCTCCTCTTTGAATATCGAGATTATGGTATATTAAATAATTTAATTTTTATTGAAATTTATGATAATAATTTTAATTATAATTAAAATTTTGGGATTATATGATCCCAACTGTATAAAATTATGTGTGTATATTGTTGCATGTTGCACAATTGTTCGGTGGCGGAGGTGAGCCAAGTCACAATCCAAGAGTGAGATACCTTGTAGGACAATTGCTGAAGGGGAGATTGTTGCAGGTAGCATCAATTATCCTGTGACGAAGGTCAGGTGGGCCGAGTCACAATTGAATCGTGGCGCTTGGGCTTTTAAAGTAAAAAGAAATGCGCTCTGACTAAAAATTATAATTTTGGGCCTAGTGGTAAATGATACGATCCTAAGATATAAGATATGATATGTATTGTTCACGTGGAAAGAATAACACAGATTATTGTATGACGAATTTAAGGAGAAATACGGTGACGGATTTGAAGGAGAGTGAGGATTTTGAGTCGCATATATGAGAAAAAGAGCGAAAAAATAAAGGGGAATGAAAATTGAATTATCTTATTAGTCTCTCGTTCTCGCACAGAATCTATAACCGTGGTTCTGAATGCATCCCTAGGGAATTCTAGTAGTTCAATCACATGTTTCACATGTACCTACAAAGTAGTTCATGTCCCACTTATAGTGGCCATTAACAAATAAGGGAGAGGAGAGTGGTTTATGGAGGTGACTTAAACATTGGTGGGTAAGGTGAGTTCCTGGAGATGGTTTGGTGTATGTTAGGGTGAAGAGTGACCAAGAGATTAGCTAAGAGAGGTGGACAGAACTCATTGTGAGAGAACCAATTCTCAGTCCACAAATAAGTGATTATCTGAGAGTTGATTAAACAATAGTTAATTTTCTTTGTTTAAATATATGTTTAAATACATACAGAATTGATTATTTGTTAAACTATAATCAATTCTTGGTCTCAAGAAAATTGATCCTCTTTCAACAAAATTTGGTTTTCAAATATTAAATTACATGGTGTGAGAATGGATCCTATTTCAACAAAAATCAATTTTCAAATCATTTATTAATATTAAATTATACATATATTTAATTACTATTACTAAATAATAAGTTATGTTTATTATATAATTTTTTTTAGTATTAATATATTAATTAATAGGCAGAATGCATTCTCACCCATATTTATGATTCTTCCTCTCAAATCATTTATTAATATTAACAGATAAAATTGATTCTCACTTTGAAATAATCTATTCTTCTTCTTTCTCAAATCTTTTATTAATATTAAATTATATTTATATTTAATTATTACTATTAAATAATAATTTAGATTTTTTATATATGTATTTAGCATTAATATATTAATAGTAATAAAAATTTTACTTATTAATTATTAATGAAAAATTAATAATTTTATAATTATCAATTATTTAAAATATTTTATAATATAAAAATATTTAATATGATTTTGTAAGCTAATTATAAAATATAATATAACTGAAGAGAATATATAAGTTAGATAATCAACATCAGAAAATATATTTTAATAATCTCGATATAAACAGTAATAATATTATAAATATTGATTTTAATTTTAGAAAAAAATATCAATAATAGCACTTTAAACAAAATAATAAGAAAAATTAGATGAAATACATAAATAAATAAAAATAAAAATTTATTATTTTTATAATGTGTTTAGTTTTATATTTCTTTATCTTATATAATCAATTTTCTATGAAATATATTATAATAATTATTTTAAAAATTATAGTAATATGATTTTTAATTTATAATTTACAATAATTTTAATGTAATACAATTTTAAAAAAATATAGTGAATAAACAAATTTTAATTTTTTTTTATTTTAAAAGATCACTGACATTTTATTTTAACATAATTTGTATTAATTATATTTTATTTAAATTATATTTTTAAGACAAGTGTAAAATTATAATTTTACAATTTTATTAATTAAAATATTTTTTTAATATATTAAACTAATCATATTATTTATAATTTTTTATAAACTTTTTTTTATTTCTTTTTATTTTTTATTAATTTTTCTTTTATCCA